GAAATTGCTGAAACACACCAGTTAGACACGTTCTAACTGAAACCAATGGAGGTTCGTGCTCAGCTTGTGTGAACGGCCAAACCCGCTGGTCCAAAGTGAAGGATTGTGGCCAGCGGCTCTGCCCTCAACTAAGTGTAAATGTTTGAGATTGCTGCCTCTTCTGACATCAACGTCACCTCCCTTCTGAATGACCTGCAGAATTCCTGGGCCGCACAGGTCAGTTCCTCAGAGTCTGGTTTACTCCAAGTGTAACTTGCTTTTTTTACACCAGGCCTGGAACAGAGGTGGTCACAAACAGCATGCAGGCAATCCTCTATACCCAAAATCCCAGCTCACACTCATATACCTGGTTCCTAGGAAGATTCTCGGTCCTAAGAATTGCCTCTAAATATAGAACAAATAAAGCAGAGAGCAAACTCTGTGCTGTCTGCCAGAGCTTCTCACAAAGGGTCACTTAAAAAAAAAGTGACAACATAACTGTAGTTCTTCAAAGACTCATAGACTCATAGACTTTAAGGTCAGAAGGGACCATTATGATCATCTAGTCTGACCTCCCGCATGATGCAGGCCAAAAAAGCTGACCCACCCCTTTCCCTTAACTCAGCTGTTGAACTCCCCAAATCCTGTGATTTAAAGACTTCAAGTCGCAGAGTATCCCCCAGCAAGCGACCCCTGCCCCATGCTGCGGAGGAAGGCGAAAAACCTCCAGGGCCTCTGCCAATCTACCCTGGAGGAAAATTCCTTCCCGACCCCAAATATGGCGATCAGTAGAACCCCGAGCATGCAGGCAAGATTCTCCAGCCAGACCCTCATTGACCATTGATACTATTTACCAGCGATGCCACGTTGTTGACCAATTGACTAAAAGACTAAAAACTTGCTCACTCCCTAAGAAAAGAACACGCATGTCTATGTGTAGTGGCCTTTTGAAACCACCAGCCGTATAAAGTGATACAGAGTCTTGAAAGGCTGTGTGGTCTAGAAGGAAGAACACAGACCTCCTGAGTTCAAATCTGACTCTTCCACTCATGCACTGTGTGCCCTTGGATGAGTCACTTCTTTCTGTCTCAGTTTCCCCATTTGTGTAACATGGATGCTTTGAGAGTGTGTTAGCTAGTGCTTGGGACATAGAAAAATGCTCATCAATATCATGTGTCATGGGGCCAAATTCATCCCATGTATATGCTGGATTTACACCAGGTATAATTCAACCCATGCTTGAATCTAATACCGGCAGAGTGATGGGAAGTGAGCAAGATCTTTTCTGGTAGGTTGTCTGGTGGCGGATTACAGTGTGGAAACTCAGAGAGGCACTCAACAAAATTCACCTTCTGTGATCTCTGCAGTTGGGGATTGGAAAACACAGCTGCTGGTGACCAGTTAGAAGAGATGGACTGGTACCAGCCAGCTGATTGATATCACAACGGGACACGTTCCCCTCTTTGTGTGTTGTGTCAGACTTAACATGCAATAGGGACACTGCCATATTCCTGCAAGCAGGGTGGAGCGTGGATGTGTGTGTAGAACAGAGCTTCGTGTAACCAGAGAACCACCACACCCCACCCCCCTCAGCTTCTTTTAGGGCTGGAGATTTTCACCGTTCATCCCACCCTCTTGATGTTAATTGAGCCCTGGGGTAAGCAGGTGTCTTCAATGCTGCACTCACACCAGGAATCAGTTTGGCCCATAATGAGTATAAACCCTGCATAATTAAACGGGGGATGGTGTTAAGTGATAGGATCAACCACTTAGGGTAACCCATTCTTACCATCACCTCCTGTCACCTGTGGGACTCTGGTGCAATCACAGACCCTGCAAGATTGTCTATTAACTCCCACTGGATGCCTGCCATGGATCTGGCCAGAGGCAGGCTTCCCCAGCTGTGCAAACTGCATTGCAATCACTCCGCAAAGCAGCCAAAAAGCTTCAGGGGCAGGGAGTCCATCCAAACAGGGAGACTGTTCATTCAAGTTGCCGAACATTGAGCTAGGACTGGAAAGGTAGTGCTTATTCACTTTTATTCATTTTTTTTTTTATGTTCTCAAACTTGCTTACAGAAAAGTAAAAGTTTGAACACATCAGCAGCACATAAGGGAAAGCTGTCTGAATGATCCTGTATTAAGTAAGCCCTCGTTATAGTGGGCAACCATTTTGGAGACCCTAATGATGAATGTCAACAAAAATCCTGGGCTAAAGTGTGTTTTCCTGCTTTACCTTACTAATGATACCTCTAGGGAAAATCCATCCCATAATTTCTTCCTTCTACTCTAATAAACGTGGCCTGCATGATGTTCGTTCACATTTGTTGCCACACTGAGATTCATTTTGGCTTTTAAAAATTGCACTAACAAGAGCCAAATACAGAATAATTATCAAATTCCAAACTGTCCTACAACAATGTTCTCTGCGTGGTGCAGCCGGATATTCCAGCCTGAAAGGTATGCTCGGGGAGGGGAGGGGGGGGGGAAATGCAGGGATATTTCTGGGAAGGGATCTCATTAGGAGACATGTTAACATCAGTGGTATGATAGAGCATACAGCATGTGAATTTAGGATCCCCATAAGTATGCCTTGGCTGGCTGTCTAGCTATCTGGAGGCATATAAAAGGTGAGGCATATTTTGAGAAGAGTTGGCAAATGTGGGAAGAGCCCAGTATAGTGTATTGGAAAAATCTGGCAAGTTTAAACATTGTGTCTGGGACAAAATACCATCAATCTGCTTACATTTGGGATTGCTGGCTTTGCTTGACATATCAGGATCACTGCAGTCGCTGGCGGATGCTTCCTAAGACTGCGTGAAATGGCAAAGTCTATACAAATCTCAGAGCAGATGGGACTTGCCATAAAACAAGCTGCCATTCAATGTGCTAAGTGTATTGCCTCCCTCCCCCGAAATCCTTGTTCTGAATTGCCTGAACAGAAGGAATATTGTCAGAGTGAGTGTTATGGACAAGCAGCCAGCAAGTTATGAACAGCAGGTCAGAGGTCAGATTGCGTTCAGCTAAATGGCCCAAAGGTTTGGACGCTTGTCTGAATTAGGGGCTCAAACAGTGGTGTGACAGTGTCGCTTTCTTCTATCACTGAACAAGGCACTGTGAGTAGAGGGATTACCCTGACAGCCACTCTTTCCTTCGGCTTCCCTGGCGAGCTTCTGCCCAGAACCAGCCCTAGCCCCCTCCTGCCCGCCTGCCTTCCCACTACAGATTTAAAGAAACAGCAGCACACATATCCCTCCCTCCCACCAGCTTCTTTACCTCTTCGTAGTAAAGAGCTTCCTAATCTTGCCCAACATACAGAGGCTGTCCACTCCCTGTCCCTGGCCTAAGGAGTTGAATATACAACCCAAAGCTGCGCCGACCCCTTCTTGCGGCTGTAAAGGGGAGCGGTCACAGAGCAGCCCCTCATGGCATGGGACAGTCCTGCAGACACCCTGCCTCAGTTGCTCTCAGTGTCAAAAATAATCCACTTACACGCCAAGTCTGTAAGAACAATAGTTCCCCTCTTTCAGGGGCTAGCTTATTCTGATTAACTCGCTCCCCTGTTAGATTCGGGGGTTCACAGCCCCCCTTCCTGGGCTATGCCCTAGCTGAGTTGTTCCTCCTGGGAGGGGAAGGGGACTTAGCAGCTCCTTTAATAAGCTTAGAACCTCTTTCTGGGTCACCTTCCCCCCACCTGCTCCTCAAGTGCTTGATTCTACCCAGCTGAGTGTAACAGCCCCAAGCACCTGTCTGCACTGCCTGGGGGAGGGGAGCTTTGCCCTCTCTCCCTACAAGGCTTTTGGTCCCAGATCCTCAAAGGCATACAGGCCCCTAACTCCCACCGAAATTCCCATGAGGATCTGCCCAGATTTAGGCCCCACTGTGATCCACAACCCCCCACTCAGCTGCTGCCTACTCTCGCAGGTGCCTAAACTCACTCGGCACCTACGTTTCTGCTCCTGGGCACATCCTGCAGCCTCAGACCGGTGCCTGTCCCCCTATCTCCTGCCCAGCCCCCAGTGTGAGCCCCGAGCCCGGGGGAGGCCTGTCTCGCCTGTGGGGCATGGTTCAGCATGCCTAACTCCACACAAAACAGCTGGGGCGAAGGGGACCTCCCTCGTAAGCACTAGCCCAGGTGTGAGGGTCTCGCCTGGGATGTGGGGGAACCATGCTGAATTGCCCCGTCTGCCAGATGAGTAGAGGGTTTTGAACAGGGGGTTCCCATCTTTGAGACGGGGCCCTTAGTCTCTGGACTATGGGCTGGTCTGATGTGAGGCTGCCTCAGTCTCTCCTGTTAAAGTTGCTCCAATTTGTGTTAACTATGAATTGGGGGAGGGATAGCTCAGTGGTTTGAGCATTGGCCTGCTAAACCCAGGCTTGTGAGTTCAATCCTTGAGGGAGCCACTTAGGGATCTGGGGCAAAATCAGTACTTGGTCCTGCTAGTGAAGGCAGGGGGCTGGACTCAATGACCTTTCAAGGTCCCTTCCAGTTCTAGAAGATGGGCCAGAGAGAGAGACTGACTCTGCAGTTAGGACCTGCCCTGGCCTGAGACATGGGGAACTCTGGTTCAAATCCCCTTTGCTCATCAAGCAGTGGAAGGAATTGAGCCAGGGTGTGTCTCTCTCTCTCTCATTACCATTGTATCTTTAGTGGTAAGATAAGACACCCATGGTACAGTTGGGGAACGGAGCCACAAAGTTCAAGATCACACAGGGAATATGTGGCAAAGGTGAGAATTATTAACACCTGTCCAGCCAGGTCCTAGGCGAGCTGTTCTCTCAGAGACACTGATGTAGGACTTAATCAACTGGTGCCACAGTCCTGGGTGTGGTTCCTGCTCTGTTTTTGATGTACTTGTCATTTTCCTCTCTAGAAAAGGAAATGTGATGCTGTAGTACAGAAATCTCCCATAAATTGGGCCCCCTGGTGCACATTGCTAGTATTACACACTATTCTCAGGCACTGTCTCACTTCAGCCCTTCTCTGTTTGTTTGTGACGGAAAAAGGAAACAATCAAAAAATTCTGCTGAGTTCACTTTATTGGACAAGCAAATTGGAGACACTGTCGTCCCCAGCAGCTCCCGGGGAGAAGGGTGTGTGGAGACCGTGGCTGGGAGCAGGGATCCGCAGCGGTTGGTGGAGAGCGAAAGCAGAAGGGCAGCTTTTAACACTCAGCAGCGAGGAGGCTTCAGCATTTTCCAAGATGCTCCAATCGAACACTTCCCTGACTTCTCCTATAAAAGGAGCAAAACAGACTCAGGCACTGCTGGGGATAAGAGACGTTCAACTCCGTGCCACAGACACAAGCTAGGACCTGGCGCCTGGGAACAGCCCAGTCTGTCTCAGACACTGGCCAATTCCTGATGTGTCAGAGGAAGGTTCAAGCCCCTTTTTTAACTTCTTGCCGGAGGCAGAGCGGTCTGGACAGGAGCGGGCTCTGGCTTTTCCTTTAGGGTTTTAGACCTTGTTCCACAAAGACAGTCAGTCTGAGCCCATTCAAACTTTGAATTAACATTTTTGCCATGGGGCACGTGGCTCCCACAGCCCTGGAAACCCTGTAGAGCCCTCTCCTGATGTTCTCAGAGGTGCAGTTCACCCCTTGCGGAGGTGTGGCAGAAGAGGCCGGGCACCAAGGCAGTTCACAAAAGAAGGCTCAGGAGGGACTGAACTGTGGGCACAGGCTGTGTGCCAACTCCCTGCATGCCTGGATTTCATTCAGGGAGCAGAAACAGCTTCCAGTGAATTTTGATTCCTCTGGAGCTGCTCTGGGTGAGGCGCTTCACTGAGAAACCTTCTCACTGGGCCAGAATTACAGACTGGTCCATAGAAACAGAAGCAAAATGGAGAGAGGGCCTCCCTCCTGGGAAGAAAATCAGGAAGTCAGAGCAGCTCTACTCATTTTAGTGACCGTTGCTCCCACTTACTTGACGGCCTTGCAGAAGGAACATTTGTTGCCGTATGTCATGCCATCCGTGCCACAGTGGGGGTTGGACTCCCTTGTGCAGTACATGCCGTCGTCCATGAACTCCTTGCAGTCAAACTGCAAAAGTAATAATAAACCCCATTAAAACTCCTTCCCCCCCCCTTCGTTTTCCTCCACGACTCTGATAATCAATTGACTCACTTACTCTAGTCTTTCTACTGAGAGGAGTTAAAACAGCAGCAAGGGTACTGCCTGCTCCCTGGAGAGAGAGATCCTTCCACGACCAACAGATGTGGCTTCAGAAGGAGCATCTCCACAGGGCTGTAACCACCTACTTATCAAGAAGAAATTCTGGTTTCCCAAACAGGTTGGCCCCGTCATGTCAGAAGCAAATAGATATCAACACTCTTAACACCAATCAGTCTCCAGTGCGGCTAGCTCCCTGCGGCTCGGAGCCAGACTGTCCTAGCTGAGTGCACCGACCTTTCCGAGGCACTCAGAAACTGGGTGAACAAGCTCAAGTCAGGCAGCTTCCGTTTGTTAGGAAAGGTTAAGACAGGCATCGGTATAACATAACGCTCGGTACCTTCCCACCGGATGGACAAGCGAATTAGAGTTTGTGAATGTCTCCAACATGACAGTGAGTCAATTGGATTCCAATCGCATCGTACAGCTGGTCTGGCTTTGGTCACCTTCCAGTAATTGACTCTGCTATTGGGTCATATATTTTCTTGGCAGTCCCTACCTGCAGTGTCTCTCTCCTGGGAGAAGACTGGGCCGTGGGGCTAGAGTGAAAGAAGCAGTATGACTCTGCTCTGGGATCCATTCTGCCGACACTGTGGTGTGCTGAGTCTGCATGGGTCTCATCACATGGACAGTCCATCTTGTGGGTCTGCCTGTGTCCCACAGCCCAGCTATGTAATTGCATCCCATACACAAGGCTACATTGCCATGAGCGCTGGGGGAGCCTGGAAGCACCCATCGCTTCCCCCCTTTTTTTTAGGGTTTTCCAGGGCCTGAGCTTTTCCTTACAAAGCCGTGTCTCCGGAATTGGGAGAAAGTGCAAAGTCAGAAGCAGAAACAGTTGCACTAACCTGGCCTCCGTCTTTACTGGCCACATCTGGAACAAAAACACAGAGAGACAAGATTTTACAAAGCCACCAACTATCTGAGAGAAGCTGAGTGAAAGCTGAGTCAATTTACAAAAAATCTTGAAAGTTACAATATTTTCCTTAATATGATCTCCTGTAGTACAGGCTGCGTGTGGGGGGAGGGGAGGGCTAGTCAATCAATGATCGGAATTGTTGTGCAGGATTTTATTAATTGACCAAAAATATTAAGTGACTTATTGCAACCACTCAGCTGTTGCATTGCATCATGGGTACATTCAGCAAACTCCTTGGGGTGCTAGCTAACCCCTGCGGCAAGACAGCGATTGCAGCAGCGCTCAGCAGGCAAAGGGTTAAAAGGGAAGTTAAAAAAATATATTGTAAGCTATGTGAGTGTTTGAGGTTGCAGCAGGTCTGAATAACTAAAGATGGCTGGTGTTGTCTGTGGCTTCTGAGGGCAGGGAGCGGAGACAAGGGCCCTGGTGGGGGGATGGAAAATTAGCCCGTCCGGGTGGTAATTAGCCAGTGCTGGTGATCAGCTGTAGACTCCTGGTCAGTCCTGTAGCCAGCAGTTCATCCCATGACTGCTTCCTCTGAGTCAGGACCCAGGGAGACCCGGTGCAGGGCTAGCTGTGCTTAGATTCTTCCTGAGCCAGCCAGGGAGAACCGTAGACGCTGTCTGTTACCGTCAGCCACAACAGATCGATCCCCTTTCTGTTTCCTCAACCCCAGACAGCCTGCAGTCAAGCTCTCGAGGTGAGTCCGTATCTCTAGCTGGGGGACATTGCAATGGCTTTAAGGAGGAACCTCCCAGCTGGGGGGTAGGTTAATGTAGGCTCCTGGGGGCCTAGGTCGTGCACTCGGTGGAGGCTCGGTCTCAGGGCGGCTCCAGTTTCGCCTCCCGCAAGGCAGGGCCGCCATCGCCGCTCGCGGCCGCCTCCCCGCTGTTGCCAGGGTAGAATCATAGAATCATAGAATATCAGAGTTGGAAAGGACCTCAGGAGGTCATCTAGTCCAACCCCCTGCTCAAAGCAGGACCAATTCCCAGCTAAATCATCCCAGCCAGGGCTTTGTCAAGCCGGGCCTTAAAAACCTCCAAGGAAGGAGATTCCACCACCTCCCTAGGTAATGCATTCCAGTGTTTCACCACCCTCCTAGTGAAATAGTTTTTCCTGATATCCAACCTGGACCTCCCGCACTGCAACTTGAGACCATTGCTTTTGTCGTTCGCTCTGGTGACTGTTTGGCCTGCTTGAGCGTCTTCCAGCTTTGCTGCGACGCGACACGTCACGAAACTGCCGCTTGTAATGAAATCGGGCGACTTTGGCTAGATCTTGTGACGGAATCACTACGTCGGCAACACCGGGGAAGGCAGAGCTGGGGGGGCGGGGAGGGATGCCTGGGGGAGCAGGGGCGATGCCAAGCGGGGCTGGGGTTAGGCAGGGGGAGGGCACAGGAGAGAGCAAGGGGGTGTTGGGTAGGGAGAGGGCAGAGGGCATTTTGGGTGTCGGGGGAGCAGGTGGGCTCCGTGAGGGGCCTCTGGAGGGTCCCCATTCCCTCACGGGGAGCTGAGTGGCTCTGGTGGGGAGGCAGCCCTGGGCTGCTGCCGGCCCCGGAGAACTCGGCTGCGGGGTGCTTCTCTGGGACGGACTATGCAGTGTCGGCCTTACCCCGCCCCTCGCGGGGTTTTCTGTACCTGGAGGAGCAGGTCCCGGTGGAAGGGGCACAGCCTGGCTGGAAGGTGGCCGATGTGAGCAGGAGATACGGCGGCTCTCTGCTCCGGAAGGAGAGACGGCAGCTGAGCCCGGGTCTGGACTCTGGGGGGGGGGTCCTCCTGGCCCCAGGGAGACCCCCCCCACCCCTAGACCCAGCTCTCCACTACAGAAGGAGAGACAGCGGCTAGGCAATCAGAAGTACTGGAACACCGTTGTGCTGGCACAACACGGGCACTGCCCTAACACCCCTCCTCTCCGGGCTGCCAAGGACTCAGCATCTCAGGACACCCATGCGTGGCACCAGCAGCTTGGCTGGAGCCTCAGACATCCAGCCGGTCACTCCTGGCTGCCAGGAGCCACTGGTGCACCTGCTCTGCTTACCAGCCAGGCAGCCACTCTGCCTCCCCTCCCCACCCAACTGCCCCCTAAATATCCATCCCTGCTTCTCCCCCACCCACCCAGCACCCCCTAGACATCCTAGCCCACGCCCCGCAGAAACCCCAATTACCCATCCACCTAATCCAATCTGCGCTAGCAATTTTTATGCCTCTCCATGTTTTATCACTACTGCTTCGGGCAGGCTGTGTGGTATTGGGGGCCTGTGCTTTAAGGGCTGAGCTTCCCAGAGACAGAGACTGGGCAGGGCATTGTGACAGCCTTGTTGTCATGCCGGGACACAGAATAAAACAGAGCTCTGGAGAGCAGCGTAAGTCCCCGCTGATCACTGAACACCACAGGCTGTGTTGACCATAAGCTGCAGTTTATGGCTCTGTGCAAATCTTTGGGAAATTAGCTCAATAAATACTTCGCGTAACATGTCACAGGTGGAGCGTGACGAGACTCATCAGCTGTGCCCTCAGATGCCCCAAACAGGCTTATATAAGACCACAGGGCCGTCTGGTGTCCTCCTCCTCCGGAGCTCTGGTGGATCTCTGCCCTAATTAAGTTTCACTTTGAGCTGGGTGAATAAGCCATGATCAATCACTTATTCCGTGCCTTTCCCCTCTCTTTGCCCATGCACAGCCTATATTAGCAGAAATCTGTGCTGCATTATTTGTTCAGTTTCCATTTTATCTCAGCCCTGACATCCAGTAATCAAGGCTCCCTAGGGCTAGAGATGTTAGCCAGGGCTATGTACAAGCTGCGGGAAGAGTTACTCACCCGAGAAGAAGAAGAAGAAAAGAGACAGGCCGAGTAGCACAAAGAAACCTGTTGTCTTCATGGCTGTTTAATGCAAGGCCAACAGCCTGCTCAGTAGATGCGCTCTCAGCAATAAACCCACAGCGAGTGCTCATGTACCTGCCTCTCCAGCTCTTTATATACACACGGGCACGTTCACATTCCTCACCTGCATTATGAAAACTTTCTCCCTCTCCTTTCTCAAGGTTTCTCAAGTAATCATTGGCCCTAGGAACCAGCTGCCGTTCACGAGGCTCCATCCCAGGTGTTAGGAATGTAGCCCTATCCACATCAAACCCAGAGAACTGGGTTAAGTATGCAAGTCACACGCTACGGCTTGTAAATGGCTCCGCCAATGGTAATCTCCCTTTCTCCAATAATCACAGGATTCTCACAAGGGAGAACTTTCAAAGCAGTGACTCAAGAGGGAGGCTGGTAATTGTCCTGCTACGGGGGCCCTTCCCGAGTCCCTGCAGTGGGGTTTTGCAGCGCAGCAGGCTGGCTCTTCAGGGACGTGTAGGAAATGACTCACACCAGGAGAATGGAGTGGGTGTGAAACCAGTGATTTGGTGCACCCTTTCTATTTTTGAAGTCAAGTCTACATTTGTTCAGCTGGGGTGGAGAGAGGCAGCGGAAAGTGACATGATTTCACGGCTGTTTGCAGAGTCCCAGATCAGGCATGCTGATGCTCCTCCTTCAGCTATTTAAACTAGGGCTATATGTTGTTTTTCAGTTCTCCTAAAACACGAGAGTACATCCTGGCCCCGGTCCTACCTTACGTGTCAGCATGGAGGCTCCTGCTCTTTGCCCAGCGCTTTCCAGTTACTCTCTGTGCAACCTGGGACCCAACACATACATTCAGTTTGCCCATCTGTACAGAGGGGATAACAAGTCCTTTGAGACCAGAAATGTTACGTATCGGTTTCACTTGCCCATCTCAGACAGACAGTTCCATTGACGACAATGGGGCTTCTCGCGTAAGGCCATAGCAGGGTGAGATCTAGTATCTTTCGGTTCCTGGCACCTGTGTTGTCACACGGTGCCTTTGGATGCAAGTGGTTAGAAGAATCACATTAGCAAGGAAGAGCTATTGTCAGGTCAGTTCAACCAAGAATGGAAAGTGGTTCATGCAGTGGCGCCATTGCTAACGGCTCTGAAAGCCCTCCAAGAATTACAAGGATAGGGGAAAGGAATTCACCATGTAGAAACCTGCCACTGAAATCAGAGGTGGGCTGGATCCAAACCTCAGATCACAGCGCTCCTAAAACAAGGGCAGAGTATTTACCATAGAGTCAGTCACAATTCAATATGTCACGTGTGAACTGCTAAGCCACCTTTGAGCTACCAGGCAATGGTGTGCACTTACAGAGAATATCGGCACTAAGTCGTTAGTATGACTATCTGTGCGAGGACAGAAGGTTTTTTTGTTTCCTTAGCACCAGCCAGGTCTTCGTACAATAAAGCAAAGAGCTGCTCAAAGATAGGTCAGTCCATGATGCCCTCCAATGGGATTTGGGGGTAGAGGCTGAAGTGAAGAGTGCCCCATAACACAAACATTCCCTGAAAAAATCCAAGACAGGTTTGAAATGCGTCTGGTTTCGGTGCAGCTAAAAAAACCTGGGTTTGTTAAGTCTTTTGAAATGTAATTATTACTCCTCTGCCAGTGCAGATGCCTCTTAAACATTTGCAGAGACGCTGGACGGTGGCAGAGGAAACTTTGCCAAAGCCTATAAAAATGTCATCAAAGTGGAGCTGGCTAGGACTGGTAAATTACCCTG